AGGAGAGGAGAGGAGAGGAGAGGAGAGGAGAGGAGAGGAGAGGAGAGGAGAGGAGAGGAGAAACCCAGGTCTAATGGCTTTTCTGCAATTCCTAATAAATATTTAAGTTCACCACAGTTTGATGATAAATATCATCATGCATTAAGTTATAGAAAGGTAAGGCTTATTCTGAAACTGCCAGCAGTGCTCAGTAGTGCTCAAACACTACAGAGTAACAGATTAACTCAAGCAACTAGTAAATCAGACTAATAGGAAAGCTGTCTTTTGCAACCATTCCACTTCTGGGAACACACAATCCATGTCAATTAAAAATAAAATAAATGTTTCATTAAAGCTCCCAATGTATTTCTTAAAGAACAAGAAGAATTTGTAGGATGCATAAGGATATGTAACTCAGCCTGGTAACTTTCTCTAAGGGATTCAGCCTGCCTTTGTAGGCTTACAAAGTCCTTATCATGCAGAGTCAATTATGACTGCATTGCTTGCTACTGCATAACGTCTTCAGCAGCTTTTCATCCAAGAACATATTTCTATTTTTCCAGAATTTGGACTCACCTACATCAAATTTTGGAAGGAGCAATTTGAAAACTGTGAATGTGATGATAGCCTAATCACTCAAAACTTTAGCAATGAAAATATGGAAAAGCTGTTGTATAAAAAGATAGCTAAATAGAATGGTTTAGTTTGACAGAAATAGAAAATGTGACTCAGATACGGAAAAGAGCTCTTTGCCCTTTAAAAACTCGCTCTTGTTTTCCCTCTAACACAGGAGCTTTTCAGGGAGAGTCTGATGATGCTGCATTATTGATGTGATACAGGTCTCTGGTGGAAACAGATGTGATATGTTTGGATTTCTCTGATAGTCTGGGCTGAACACAAAGCAAATTATCAAATGTTGGAAGGCTCGGGTTCAGTGAGAGTGTTCAAAGCAGACTTTTATAAGAAGTTCTTAAATAATAAATCTTAAATTTCAAGCCTGTTGCATAACCAAAAGTTATATATGTACTAAAAGAAATGTGCCCCAAGTGATTCTGTAGACAGACTGCAACTGAGATCAAAACGCATATGTACAGATTTAGGATTTGTTTGTTCTCAAATCAGGCACTGATAGTTGGGGGTAAACAACGTGCAATAGCAGTCTGGATGAAAAGTCATAGAACTACAGAATCAGTGAGGCTGGAATATGTAAAACTTAAATGAATATTCATAATCTCTCCTACAATTTCGTCACCCTGTGTTGGATCTTAAAAAAAAAAAAAAAACAAAAAACAAAACATCACCATTTCGAACCATAACAATTATATTTATTACTAGATTGTTCCTGGCAGGTTGTTACACAAAACAGAGTTCTCCCATGCAAAAAGAGGTCAAGCAGAGGTAGAAGAGGGCTGTTTTAGCCTAGGCTAAGCACACTTCAGCTTCAGTAGTTATCCAAGACTACTTAAAAAAGGTGGGTTCCATTCATCCACCCCAGCAAATCACACAGTACATGTCTGTAGGAAGCCCAAGTTTCACAGGTCAAGTTTTCAGTACATTTTGAGATACCTGCCTAAGATTTCCCTTCCCAGCTCACAGTGAACCTCTAAGAAGGCTCTACTAAAGCAATGAACTGCAGTCTCTTGTAATAAATAAGACAAACAGTGTGATGGGATGTGCTAGATTATATCTCACTGGTGCGACAGCTTAATGTGGCTTCCATTTAATCAAAATTTCCATAAAGATGGTCAGATCAGAATACTGTTTCCTGGTCTCTGCCGAAAATGTGAGATCCACAGTGACCATGTTGACACATCTTGGCTCTGACTTCCATCTTCCTTCAGAAGAAGCTTCTTGGCTGTCTTCCTCATAATTCCTGCAAACTCAAGGGAAAAAAAAATCTTGATCTTGCTGCATGTGCCATTCTTCCTTTTAAATCCTCTCTACTGTCATTTGAGATCTGTGCTCAAGATGAGTATTTTTTAAATAGGTTCAAAGACAACTGGCTGTGAGGGCACAGGGACAACACTGATGGAAGATTCCCTGGAGGCATTCAAGAAATGGGTAGCTGTTGTACTAAGGAACATGGTTTAGTGGGGAAATGCTGGTGGCAGATGGCTAGGTGGACAGGATGCTCTTGCAGGTCTTTTTCAGCCTTGGTGGTACCATGATTCTATGATTTCACACAGCTGGTGAGCTCTTAAATCGGAGAGCTGGGAGAAGATGAGTGCCACCTGGTGAAGCAAGCCCTCGGGCAGCCTGGGAGAGGTCCACAATGCTAAATGATAGGCTAAAAGGAAGGGACAGGAAGAGACGCTACACCTCTCCTATGGCCAGCTGCTTGATGGACCAGAAAAACAACCATAGCTGAGCACAAGCAAGGGCATGCACTCCAAGCCCACTACACCTGTGCTTGGGAGTGCCACCTTCCTCTCACAAGGCGTGAGGGGCGGCTGTGGGGCAGGCACAAGAGGGAGTTGCACATCTCCAACCTCCCACAAGGAGCACGGTCAGCCGCCCAAAGCAAAGGGACACAGAGTGCCGGACATCACCCTACCCCACCGACTCAGCACGCACGACATGGCGGGCCGAGGCAGGACAGGGAGTGGCGGCCGGGGGGGGGGGGCGGGGCCGGGCGGCCGGGGGCAGACCGTGCGAGGGCAGGGCCGCGGCGGACCGGCGCAGGTGCGCAGGTGGGGGGGCGGCGGTGGCCGTCCTGCAGCCATTTCCCTGTGTCACGGCTCCGTTTCTTAGCAACGGCTCCGAGTCCGGCCGCTAGTCGCGGCAGCCGTGCACCGCCCTAAGCGGCAGAGACGGCGGCTCCGCCGGGCGGGCGCTGCCGAGGGGCGGCCCCGCGGCGGGAAGGATGCGGCACGGCGCGGGGGCAGCACTCCCGCCGAGCAACCTGAGGCGGCCGGCGGCGGCGGGGCCGTGGGAGAGCCCAGTGCTCGGCCCAGCCCCGCCGCCCGCCCGCCCGGGTCCGTGAGGGGCGGTGAGGCGGCGGCGGGGCGGGCGCCGCGCGGGGATGCCCGCTCGGGCCGGAAAGTTTCTTCCCCGCTGTGGCTCGGCCGCTGACCTCTCGCCGGTCTTTCTCGGTAAGTGGGTGCGGAGCCTTCGGCGGCGCCTCTGCCATTTTGCGCGGTGTTCGGGAGACCCCGGCCCCTGCCGCCGGGAGCAGCGCCCAGCAGCCTGGCCGCCCGGCTCCCGAAAACCGCTTATTCGCTCCGCGAGCGGTACCTGAGGAGCGGGCGCGAAGCCCGGGTTCTCTCCGGTTCCCCGTCCGTCCGTCTGTCAGAACAGCGTGAGAACTGCGCCCCGGGGCGCCCGCTGTCTGCGCACCGCCATCGGCTCGTGCATTCGCTCCGCAGCCTTCGGAAGTGTCCCCGAGTCTCTGCGTTGTTTTCTTCTGTTGCCGTCGCTGGTGCTCTCGTTGGCGGTCCCCTCCTTCACGTGCTCTGCGCTCCTTTCTAAACGGGAAAAACTCAGTGCCGGGCGGTACTGTCTCAGGAAGGCAGCTCCGAAATGATTGCCATCTGTTTTCGTCGTTGTGGAGGAGACCGGTTCCTATCGGGGGGGCAGAAGAAGGAATGAGATCAGCGAGCGGCGATTACAGCAAATCCTGCCCCGGTAATTGCACTTCTGCACTGACAATTTTTTTATTTATTTATTTTTTTTTTTTTTTTGTTGTTGTTGTTGTTTTTAAGTAAGTAGTTTGGTGATAGAGACTTCTCGTTCCTGTCCTTTGTTTTGAGTACGCCGTACCTCAGAGAGTAATTTAACAACGTCCTCGCTGGCAGCAAAAAAATCGAACAGAGTAAATTGGGCACGGAATCCTCACCTACATGTAAAATCTGGGAATAGAGGAGGGGAGAAATGAGATTTAAACGCTAAACAGGGAAAGGATGAGAAGTATTTTTTTTTTTTTTTCTAGGCGCTTGCTTAATTGTCTTTCAGTGCAATGAATTGAACTTTATAAAGTAGATTATATTCAGTGCTGTCATCTTTTTGTTCCCTCGAAAAAACAAAGCTAAACCGTCCCAAACTGGACTGTTAGCAAGGGGGGGAAGCCTTCTTCTTGGAAGTGTGAGGGGTAGAGAGTCCAGGAAAAAAAAAAAATATATATCACAGCAGCACAGGAATTGTTCCTACATGGTGCATTTTGCGGCTTCAGTCACTGGAACATGCAGATGAGTCCTGACAGTCAGTGAAATAAAAGCTATAAATGATAGCTGTTCAGTCACTTGCCAGTTTCTCTACAAGCAATCCTTGCCTTTTCCCCAGGTGATTTGCAGGGGTTTGCTCCTCCTTTAATAAGATGTGACATGCTACCTACCAGCCACCATCTCCCCTCTCTGGAGGTGGGGGGATGTGGCCGTGGTTGCATAACAGTTGCCCTGAACTTCATACATGTTCCCAAAGCAGGAGGCTGTCCAGCTGACACTCCCTGACCACAGGCAAGTGATTAATATTTTTTTTTTAATATTGCAGATAGAATTCTAAGGAAGTGAAAGAAACTTTCATGGGATACTGCTTTCTATTATTCTGGTTTCCCTTGCATGTTTCACAGTGATTTCTTTTCCCCTCCTTTAGAAAAAGTAATATGCTTAACACTCCACCACTAATGTGCAAATAGTGTAGTAAAATGAATGGTATCTATAGATCAAATGTAATCCTTCCTGCTTTTATTTTCTTCATACCTCACATCTAGTTCCTGCATTACATCACTAACCACAGTGTGGTTAAGTTGCTGTGTGGCATAACCCCAAACCTGTGGGAACAGGGCTTCAGGGCAGGGAAGCTGTCAGCCTCCTCTGAAGCATGGTGTTTTGCAAGCACTGTCTGAGACTAGCATGATCATTTTCTGTTTATGCTAGCAGGTACTACCCCATCTATCATTTATCTGGAGTATAAAGAAATTAATTAGCTGTGTGCCAAGGGTCTAGTGGGGCTGCTTTTCTTTGCAGAACTGCCTAATCATCTGTCTCATCAGTCTGCCTGTCTTTGTTACATACAGAAGCTGCATGGACAAGAGAGATCAGCGTGTTGGTGTTACCACTGTCCCACTCGTTGAGGGGTTTAATTAATGGGAGACTGGAGGACGAACAAGAGACGGAGACACCCGTTGTGCTATAGGTCTGTCACTGATCCTCACCCTCTTCTCTTTTTCCCTGCAGGAGCTGGAGCAGCTATAGGGAGCAGTGCCCTGGGTAGCCAGCCATGATCGCCACTGGAGGCCTCCTGAGGATCTCGGCTAGGAAACAGGATCCCTTGCGACCACAAAGCCAAATCCCCAAACGCAAACGTAAGGCCAAGAAGAAACGCAAAAATGATGTTGTGGTTGTGAAAGGCAAGCTCAAGCTGTGCTCCATCTCAGGGCTTATCGCCCTCTGTGGCATCCTGGTACTGCTAGTGGGCATCGCCTTGGCTATTGTGGGCTACTGGCCTAAGTCCGGCCAGGTATACAGACAAGTTAGTGAGGGCAGGCACCTGGCCCCTCAGGGTGGCACCGTCAAGAACCGCTCCCAGAACCAGGAAGGGGCACAAGCTGAGATCTACCTGGAGTCACCTTCCAGAGCCAATTCCACCGCTGCTATCAGCCAGGAGTTCCCGCAGTCCTATCCCACTTCCTCATCCCCCCAAGCTTCAGTGGGTTTCCTTTTCCGTCTTTTCTCAAGCTACTTGCATTCAGACAAGCTGAAGGTCTTGGGCCCCCTCATCATGGGTATTGGCATCTTCCTTTTCATCTGCGCCAATGCAGTATTGCATGAGAACCGTGACAAGAAGACCAAGATCATCAACCTGCGGGACCTCTATTCCACTGTTATTGATGCCCACAGCTTGCGGGCAAAGGATGGAGGCGCCTCAGCTCCTCTTAATGGCTTTGTCAATTATGTGCAGTCACGGGGCCTGGAGCTAAAGCCTGGTGGTGAAGGCCTGGGTGCTGCGGCTATGCTGGCCAAGAGCTCTTGGCCACCGGGCCTGGCTGCCTCTTTTTCCCCACCTGACCTAGCATCCTCGCCACGACGTTCCTCCTTCTGCACCTTGCCGCAGCCTCCCAGCCTGGCCGAGGCTGTGTACAGCATCTACCAGGAGCGTGCTGCCCGTACTGGCCGCACCTTCACCAGTCCGCCCTGCAGCCCACCAGAGAGCTGGGGCCAGCGCAGCACAGCCAGCTCCATTGTTGGATCCTCGTTGAGTGCTTTCACTCTTCTGCCCTTGACGCAGAGTGGCAGAGGGGGAGGCTGGCGGAGGCCTCCTGGTGAGCGGGGAGTCCAGGAAATCCCACGGGGGGAGTTTGAACTGAGCCTGACTGACCTCAGCCACGTCGAGGGAGGCTACAGGACAAGGAGGCACAAGCTGGTTCTCAGGCGGCAGAGCACCAGCTGCTTGCCTGATGCAAGGCGTCCCCTTTCTCCTGAGCCACCTCGGCCTCCAGCTGTCAGGGGAGGCCTGGACTCCAGCCTGTTGGCAACTTCTAGCCACTCCAGATCTCTGGACCTGGGGGAATCACCTCCCTCAACTCCCCCCGCCATCACCAGGATGGATTCCCAGAGCTCACAGTCTGAGCCTTCCAGCAGCAATAAGGGCTACAGTCACCTGGAGGAGGCCGGCACCTCCTTGGAGTCAGTTGCCAACACCCCAGCCAGTAAAATCCAGGACTGTGAGGAGGGACCAGTTGAGAAAATGGACCCCCTCAAGGCTACCAGCACAGAACAAACAGGGGAACAATCTCAGCAAATTCAAAGACAGTACACAAAGAAAGAGAAACTCTTTATGATTTCTAGGTCGCACGCTGCATTAGGGCTGGAGGATGGGGAGCTGGAAAGTACTGGCATCTGAAAAACCAAGAAAGCGCAAAGACACCTTGCAGCCCTCCACACCTTTCCCCCTTCTTCATCTTTTTGTGGACTTAGGAAACCAGTCTATATCCAAAGAGCTGCAGTATGCTACCCTGGAAAATCTGAATTCAGTAAATCCTGTAGATGACTTCAGGAAGAAAATCCTTCTGTCCGATTGTATGTTCCTTGCAAGCCAAATTGTATTAAATATCCACAGTCCAGCAAGTTCTTGAGATCAGCTTAATACAATTTCGGACAGTATAACCGTGCACTTTAATTGTCTTGATTTCCAAGTGCTCCTTCTCCTCCGATTTCTTTCTTGCTGACTTGCCACTAACTGCTTGAAAACCACAGGCACTTTTTTTAAGCTCAAGAGCACAGTGCTCTTTAGATTAAGAAAGCTGAGCTCTCTCTTTGTTTTGGTTCAATCACTAAAAAGTTTGCAAGGCCTTAAGGATGACGTACCTTGACAAAGAAGGAGTTTGCTTAAATTTTGGAAAAATGACAATTTAGAACAGAATAGAGCAGAACAGAGTGTTGATAATTTAGTTAAAACCATAATGTTCTTCAAAATACCTACTACGATGTGATACTTTATCAAGTATTATTACACATGTATTGAGTAATAGCATTAAAAGATTTTTTTTTTTTTAATAAAACATTTGCAAACAAAACTGAGAGATAAAAAGTCTTTTATTTTGGTAAGTACTTGTGATGCCATAAATTTCTGTTTTTGTAGATTGAATGATTAGAGAGATGCTACAAGGCCAAAGGTTTGCTTATGCTTTTAAGTGGATAATAACTATGTAGGAGTAATTTCAAAATAAACAGTGGTTTTGACTCTGAGAAACTATGCTTTGGTTCAGTCAGCAAAATCTGTCTCCATTTCTAACAGTGCTTTCTGACATCTGCAGGAATGTGAGATTTTGACATGCTATGGAAAAAAAAAAATTATAGGTTTGACCTGTTAAAATTAGATTTTTTTTCCTGAGTAACACTGAGTAATTGATCTCAAACTGTAGCGTGTTCTTTTAGGAGTCTTCATTCGCAATTGTTGCTTTAAGCCTTTCCCCTTCCCAGGTTTTCATATTCATGAAAGTATGTGCATAATGTTAATTTTAAAGCATAATTATAGTCCTGAATGTCTCTGAGCTGCTCACCCTGTTGAAATCAGTGGAAGGTTCTCAGTGACTTTGGATTGGCGAGAGTTTCTTCTTGAGTGAGAAAAGCATCAGGCTTCCTTACGGCTGTTTTTTTTTATGATCTGTGGGCAGACTTTTAGTAGATTGATGAGTTGTTTTATTTTTGAACCTGCAACGTGACAGGCGTTCTTTTATTTTGTTAAAGCAGCTCTGCAGCTTTAGATGCTCAGGAGATTTCATCAGTGTTTCAGGTTTCGAATGTGGATGTGTCATTTCATCATACACAAAGGGAAACTGACATTAAACAAACACACAGTGTAGAGAGAAAAGTTGTTTTTCTGTTGCAATTAAAATTTTTGTTATGGTTTCATGCCTTGAAATATCTAGTTATATTGCAGTGCATTGCAAAATTGAATATAACAGTCACAAAATGCAATTGCAAAGAGTAATCTGGCAAAGTCCTATATTAAATAAGGCTAATTTAAAAAAAAAAAAAGAAAAAAAAAAGCCCACAAAGAATTTGCCATGTCAGAATTCTGAAATTGTGGAAGCAGTTCTCTTGAGCAACTGAGAGTATCCAGATGGCAATATCTCTTCTCTTGTCAGTGGCAACCACAAAAAACAATAACATGAACGTCAGCATGACATTTTTTTTGCTATCAAACTGCTAACGCACAGCTGGCAAAAAATATGTTGCAGAACTGCCTGAGCTGGAAGGTGGATTGATGAGACCCTGCAAGAAGTGGCACACAGTTCTCCCAGTTCCAAGTCATTAGTGAACCAGTGCTTCTGCTTCTCTTGTGATTTCCAGCAAGATTTATGAGCTGTATCTGAGCAGCGTTACCTGGTGCTGACGGAGATGCTGGTTGTTTGTGCTGATGAAGATACCTCGTTTGTTGCTATCTATGTGAAAACTTTGTAGGGGCACAGGGTAAGAGGTGGGTTGTGGGTACTGCTTCCTGGAGGATGAGGTTCTCATGAAAGCATGACAAGTTTTTATTCATTCTGAAAGGGAGACAAATGTATTTCTGTATATGTATTCTTAGTAAATACTTCCTTAGTCCTCTGAATTTGCAGTGTGCTCTTAAAAAAAAAAAAAAAAAAAAAAAAAAAAAAAAAAAGCCTCTGGATGCTCCTTAGATAGATCAATTAAAATAAAGCATTCCAGTAATTCTGCTGATTAGTTTTCTGCAAAGCTTTCTTAATAGCAAAATTACAGTGAAGTTGGTTTTCAATAAGTAAATTTATAGCCTTTTCCTGTGTGCCAAAAAAAGATTTGAAACATCAAGTTTCATCAGAGGAGCTGGATTTTTAGAACAGCAGCTAGAAGTGATTCAGAACACATGCATTAATAGGCAGAAAAAGCCTTTAAGTATTTAAAAAAAAATCTTTCATTTTTTGTGAATGTATTCCTCAAATTGTTTGTTGAACAACACATATAGCAGTGGATTTGACGTCAGAAAGTTTTGTTCAAAATTCAAGATGAGCAAATTAGTTTGACTAACACTGGAAAGTGGATGAGAAATTCAACCTTTGTGCATCAGATGTGACTGCTCATAGCACCATTAGCAGTACAGAAACAAACAGTGACTGGTCCAGAACAGAACCTTTCCTGATAACACCAGCAGCTGACACAAATGCTCAGTTTTGTGCATTGACCTCTTGATTTTCTCCCAGATGACACTGACTGCTTCTTTAAACTACCAGACTGCCTCTTGGCTATTGTTTGCTTTTTTTTTGTCTCTTGTTTATGTGTTTTCCTCCCATCTTGTCTTCCCCGTTAACCTTCTTCCCCATTATCCTGCCATCAAGTGCTTCCTCCGCAGTCCTTGTCAAGAGCTGAGTAGTTGCTTCTGTTGTATCTGCCTGCCTACACGTTGCAGAGAAAGATGGGCTTGCACACAAAAAACTTTTGAAGATGGAATGATTAAGCTGCAATACCCCTGCATAAAATCTTAGTGTGTTCCAAAATCTGTTTTCTTTTCCAGAGGTATTTATTTTAGCATAGAAGAAATGCTATGGTAGTTATATAAAATTTCTCAAGGAAAAGCTAATTTCTGCTTGAACTCTCAGAGTACTCTCATCATTGAGTACAAGGCAGCATCTCTGCATTATGAGTATGTCTGCTTCTTAGACAAGACTGAGATCGTAGGTAAATGCCTTAATTGTACCTCAAGTGTTCTGCTGTTTATTTCCAAACTGCATATAAAAGGAAAAGGAAAGGTGGATCACGCTGTAAATATGTTCAGGAGACACATCGGCATCCTCCATAGAACACATTCAGTGAAAGTGTTAATACACTGAAGTGGATTAGGAAATGTACTTGTAAACTCTAAACTTCAACTCCAACTGTTGGCATATCAGCTGTACTACTACAAAATGCAGTAGCCCAGATTTATTGCACCATATTGTTTAGGTACATTTTTAACAGCCCTTTCAAGAAATCATGCTGTCCAATAGTGAGTAACAGTGCCTGTACAAACATCAAATTAGGTAGATAGCAACCTAGTTGTCAGCCTGCAGTACTGTACGTACTTCCATAATGGCCAAAACTGTTCCAAGATTTACACAGAAGTAGCAATATATGTACATTTTAAAATAAAATTAATGGAAGTGGCATGATGATAAAGGTTGTTGGATTTTCATGTGAGGATAATCTGATCAAATGTAACAGGTGTTGCATCCATGTGAATAGATTCTTGCTTAGAACAATGACAAAACAACAGCACTGTATTTACAGTGAAAAATGTAAGTTGTTACTAATTCCAGCAGATCACTCATTGATGTCTTGCACCATTAACATTTCAGTCTCTCAGTTTTCTCTTCATCAGAAAAGAGGGCATGAGAGAAAGAAACAAGAAAACAACGCCCAAATCCTGGCCATAACCAAGCCAGAAATCACTCCGCACACAAAAAGCACAGATGCTCTCAGTGGAAGCTGCAATTACAGTCTTAAAGTAGTTAAGTAGTACCTTTTTTTCTTGTGGAGCAAGTACATCAAAATTCCCTCAGAAAAAGTAACTTTATTCCTCTCTTTTCTAAGTGTTGCAAGAAGTAATGGAATGCTTTATCTAGTCTGGTTAATTATTATTTTTCTCTTCCAAGGATGAGTCAAAGATCCAGTATGGACCTGCAAATAGCAAAGATGTGCAGTGTGTGCAGGCATGAACAGAGAGAACAAATAGGGCCTCACAGCCACAGAAGAAAATCTGCTGCAGAAGAGTATGCTATTTTGTCTTCCTCTTCAGAGCTAACCTTCCTATTTACTGATCTCCAAAGCAGAAACATCTAAGCAAGTGCATAAGAAAAACATCTTTCACTGTTTAGCTTTCCCTCTAAGAGCAGCAGATGATGGTACAATTCAGACACTAGAGAAGCATGCATTTATCTAGTTAACTAGTTAGTTGTTTATTTGCAAATTTACTTAGAGACAGTGACACATGGGAGTCACCAATGGGAAATGTTAAGTTTTGCCACATCCCTGCAGGTGCTCAAGGCCAGGTTGAATGGAGCCCTGGGCAGCTGAGCTGGGAGGTGGCAGCCCTGCCTACAGCAAAGGGTGGGACTGTGTGGGCTTTAAGGTGCCTTCCAACCCAGGCCTTTCTGTGATTCCTTCTAGCAGAGAAGTGATCAATCAAGCCCTCCTGGAGGGAGAGGCCCACTCTTCCCATAGTACTTGAATTATGCTGACTCCTGAGTCACCCTAAGTTAGTGCAGTCCTTATGCCAGCAACATCTGCCAACAATTCCTCATGTTTGTTTGTTTGTTTTTCTATATTCAAGGAAGAAGTTTTAAACAGTAACTTGAGCTTCAGAGAGCAGCAAAGAGCAGAGGTTAGAACACTTGAACTCACCTCATAGCAAAGATCAAAAGAAAGACCATTTCTCACTTTTAAGATCTTGGTCCATGACATTTTGTTTTTTGTTTCTCTTTGCCCTCATCTGTACGAAGGTGATTTGGGCTAAGATTTTACAAGCTGCTTTTTCTTTTTTCCTTTCTACCTTCTCTCCATAAGTGGTGAGATGCTCTCAGACTGAATTTAGAAGTTAGAAGAGATTATCTGGATTCAGAGAAACAGCTGATTGCAAACTAAGCTTTACAGCCAATGTCAAAAACATCAAATAATGTTTAACATTTTTGTCCAATATATCCTGTCCACAATGGACTCCAGTTTTGAAGAAAACAACCTACAAGGCCAGAGAATAATTGCCACCAGGCACATGGAAGCCACATCACACTATTTTCTGAAATATCCAGCTACATTCAGACAAACCTTGGTGGGTCTTATTGTTGTTTTAATTTTCTGGGAACTGTGGAAAAAAACTGTTTATGAATCCCTGAAGTGAGAGCCACCACACAACCTGGGAGTGCTGTTTGCTCATCTCTGTGAGTAACATTTGGCATGGTGCTGACACATCTTCCCTGACCTGTCTGGGAGTAAAAGAAGGCCAAGTCACACAGCTTTTTTTGTGTGTGCATGCGTATGCAGAGCTTTCAAGCTGCCACAAGCCAAATCAGCCATTTTAAAAGAGCAGAACTACACAGCACAAGCACCTGACAAATGATGTTGCTGCCATGTGCCAGAAGTCACCAGAGGCAGCTCCATCAGGATAAACTCCCCATGAGCTGATGTGGTACTTCCACAACGCACCATAGAAGTGCCTTCTTCCCTCATTCATAAATTGTACTTTAGGTCTCTCCCTG